CCAAATATGGTTTGTAAAAATAAATATTACTGAGCATAATAGGAACTAAGTGCACCTATCCTGTGATTTTAGAGTCTGGAAGGCAAAGTTATAGATTCACCTTGCCAATTTTTCAGTGACTGCACTCTGTCATGAAGCCTTGTACCAATATGTTTCACAACAGTGGACCTTTCAGGTTGATCTCTTGCAACACTGTTGTCATAGATAACCATGGTTGATTATTGTCTACAGACCAGCCGTTCCATTCGATTTCAGTCTCCACTGCACATTTAGTGATATATCTACTTCAGTCAGTACTAGATTGTTAAACTGTTAAGCTGGGGCATTTTAAGTATCTTTTCCTTTGTGAACAGCTTTCCATAAGAAGTTGCATTCATTCTATCTAGAGGATTCCCTAATCTTGAATTGTTAAACTGGAGTGGGAACTTAAACAAGGGGATTTGCCGGCAAATGATAAAAACAAGCTGGAAGACATTGGCTGACTATTCTCACCATGGGACACTTTAACTCAAATCTATGGCAGTATTTTAGAACTGAGGGAACTCAACTGGGAGCTGTCTCATTTCAACTGAAGCTCTGTTCTTGTAATTTACACAACCACCTACAGGGAGCAAAGGATACACAAATACCTCCCATCAATTGCTGTGCAGTGTATGGTTTTGCAAATACTTAGTGGAGGCTGGAATAAAAAGTTGGTCCACAATCAGACAGATTCCAGTGGAGCGTGTCAGCACTAAAATATCACCTGATAGACTTATACTAATGAATATTAATTGCTGGTCTCACAGGCACTGAAAATGTCATTGTTCCCATTGTGGAATAACATCTTGCTGAGGCTTGAGGCTGAAACACTGTAAGAACTCTGATAAAGGAACTAAGCACTGCATCTCACCTATGCTCTATCTGATATGTCAATGACTGCTACTTCCCAAGTGAGCGGTGGCAGTCTCCAGTCAGGATTTAATCCCCCAGTGCTTTTTCTAACCACTGTTCACTTCAATGAATATATATATATCAATCCAAAGATATAAATCCTGTTTTTAAGAAATGAGTTTCAATGAACATCTTGGGCTTGACATGTAACTCATTGTTTTAAGCACAGTATTAGCCTCAATCTCAATGAATAGCTGCTCTTCCTGGATACTATCAATTACTTGTGGTATTCATTTAATAGTATGTTTTTCTAATTCTCAGCCTTCTGTGCAGTGTGGCCGAGGAAAGGGACTCTAGCTCACCGCTGTTCTTTTGCAAGCCCGAAGTATCTTCCCCGACACCACTGGATGAAGAATATCTGACCATCAGCTCCACATCAGACTCCTCACAATGTGACAGTCCAGATTCTCAATCACCCAACATCGCTGTGCCACAGCCTCACTTCTTGATGCCTTTCCCCGAGGATTCAAGCCCCGCAGAGAAAGACACTAGTGATAAAACTGAATGGGAAGATCTGAAGGAGTTAGATCCCGAAGTGGAAGCAAGCGTAAGGAATGACGAAGACGAGGAAGAAGTTCCAAACTTAGTAAGTGTGGCACAACATGGTTCTGCAAAATGGTAAAACTGTTTTACATGGTTCACTGTATAATGCCTTACATGCCGCTCATGCATGCGTGTTAATGTGAATGTCCTTACATCAGGAACAAATGAACTAAACTTTGCTCCTTTGTTTTCATTGCAACCTCGGTTGACGATACATTGAAGACTTTTGGCAGCCATGGTAAAAACATGTTCTCATCTGTACTGCTGATATAAAGGCGACCGTGCCAAAGTTAATGCTTATTATTTTCAAGAATAATTTTTACGTCAGTATTACTGGAATTGCACCTTTGCATTCAATAGAAAATACTTTCATGTGACAGTAGAATTTCAAAGAGAGATTGCAGCTTTGCAAATAAATAAACCAGTGAGCACTGAAGCCAGTTCAAAACCTTTGGATCAGGTAATTATCATTTAAAAATAAATCCATTTTGTCTCAGTAAATGATTGTGCAGAGCCACTTCCAATGAAGTACATGGCTCATAGACAATGTGTGTGCAGTTGCTGAAAAATTACATTAACGTTGCCTTGGGTACCACTGATTTTGTTCCCTTCACAACACCATATTAAAGGAATCCTGTGCCACTAATAATAGGGAGTAACAAATAGCACAAGGTGTTCACACAATGAAGTGATGACCTGCAGCGAGCAAGTCAAAAACGTACACTCTAAATTCTGGAAGCTTCAACTAGTGTGATTGTGGGGTCAGAAATGCATTCACATAACCCTGAGCACCAGCACAATGTGAGCAGGACAGGATGCCAGTATCAGACAAATGTGCCATTTTGCAGCAACCCCTCCAGCTGATCTGAACAGCAGGTAAAACAATCCAAGACCAAATGCTGCAGAGACTGGAATTTGAAAACACAAACACAAAACTCTGGAAACCACTCAGCAGGGCAGACAGAATCTGTGGGGAGAAAGAAATAGAATTGATATTTCAGCGGAAGGACCATTTCAAATAGTCTGGCTAACTTGCCCTCTAAAACTTTCTAAATCCTTGAGCTTTAAAGCTGTGTCTAAAGACCTTTGGCTATCTTTAAAAATGATCCATCAACACCAACCTTAGGATTCTGTGCAGAACATTGCCACAAATTTGCACATGCACTATTCACGTGAAAATTTAGAAATCTCAACCAACTCCTGAAAGCTGTAATTAACTGATGCATCTTAAGTATATTCATTGTAATATTTCATTAAAGATTCCTGAACATCTCTCCGCTGGTAATGTTATTTTAAACCCGCTCCATTTAAGCAACTGTAAATATGTCTAAGTCTCAATACAACCTTCTGGAGATGGATGAGACTGAGTAGCTCTTGTCATGTTTGATTGCTTAGATGTGCCTTAGGAGGTGTTGGCAGTTCATCCCAGCCAATTGAAGAACAGATACCCCTTCAATCCCCCTCTGCTTTGCCGAAAAGGCTTAATAATGAGCGGCAGCTTGGTTCTGCCAAATAGGTCAAGGGCAGACTGTTGTCATTCAAAAGCCAGTGCGATACATACTTAAAAGCTTCCTGTATTCTTTTGTGTTGAAGCATGAGGCAATTAAAAATAATATTGTGATAAATTGGGCAGATGTTCAAGGAATAACGTAACGGACTCTGTGAAGTTTATCACAATGGAGTGAATGTGAGCAAGGAGGAGTCATTAATTATTATCTATGAGAATAAGGTTGTTTCATTCATAATTCATTTTGTTCTGATTGAAACAGAATTAAATTTATATTAAATTGAGTACATGATTGATCTGTTTCTGTTATGACTGAATTCTAAATTATTTTACATTTCAGTTGCATCCGTATTTCCCTACAGCAATATTATTAGCTTTATAATCATTATTCCACATTTTGACTTTTTGCCTGTTATTGTTCAAATGAAAACTGACTTGTTCATTAGGTAAGAGGTAAAGACTTTAGAGTGTATTTTAAACTCACAATGCCATTTTATGAGATATCCTATATATGTTCTTTATGACATTATTGTATCTTATGGCACTGGCTGTCATCAGAGGTTTTGGATACCTCATTCAATTAGATAGAGCGAAGTACACACATATACACATATTCGTGTTGGCACATGTACATGCACACAGACACACACAGACACAGACACACACTCACACACACACACACACACACACACACACACACACACACACACACACACAAACTCACACACACTTACACAGACACAGACACAGACACACACACAACACAGACGCACACACACTCACACAGACACACACACACTCACACAGACACACACATGCACACACACACTCCCTCTTAGTGTTCCTTGGTCATAGGTCCCAATTCCAATATATCCCACCATGGCAGATGGTGAAATCTGAATTCATTAAAAATCTGGAATAAAATGTTAGTCTAAGGGGGACCATCTGATGACCACTGTCAATTGTCCCAAAAAACACTCATGTCCTTCAGAGAAGGAAATCTGCCATCCTTACTTGGTCTGGCCTACACCTGACTCCAGGGCCCCAGCGATGTGGTTGGTCCTTAACTGCTCCCTGGGAAGTTAGGAATGAATTACAAATGCTGGCCCAGCCAGCAAAGCATGCATCCCATGAGTGAATTCTAAAAATCACACAGATGCCCACACACAGCCTGATTCAACTCTGAACAAGTGGGCGGGTTTAAATGGATTAACAGTGGACTCTCACATACAGTAGGAGGAACAGCAGCAGATCTTTCTCTTTCCCTGTTTTTGGGGCACTAATTTCTACAGTGGTACTCCTGCTACAATCAACCAGCCCACTATATCGAAGCTAAAAGGTACCTGGACTGTATGGATCACAGGAAATCCCAATGACACTTTGGATACTTAGAGCAACATTTTCATCTCTTATCATCTCTTCAGACTTTGCATTGAATCTCTGGTTGGGAACATGTCGCTGTCACTCTCTCTGTGAAAGTTGCCCTGTTTGCTGCCAGTAGGAGGTCCATTTCTCCTCTAACCTCCTGTCTGCTTTGGCCTCTTCTTGTGGTTCCCCTGCCTGAGGGCCGCACTGAAATATGTGATTTACTGATGGTGGAGAGGTCGGGACATTTACCATCTTGCATTACATGGCTCCAAGTCTTCAACATTTTCGGTGCAAAAACTTCCTGAACTGAAAGGAGGCTTGAGTCCTACTTGTCCTGTTGCAGTCACGTTCAGGGTGGCACGTCTGTGGGTGCTTATAAAAAAGAAAGAAGAAATCAGCTGAAGACCTTGGAAACCTGAAGGGAATATGCAGCAGGTTGGTAAAATGAATAAGAATGGTCAACGGGCAGTTTTACAATGGGCTAGGGCTTAGCCTTGCTGGTTTACTGCCCAAGTAGTGACGATGACACTAATACCCATTTTGCCTTTTCTCTTTCCAGTTGTTGACCAACCTCCAATGTATTCGCAGCTATTTGTGCTTTAGTATTTCCAGTCTGCATTGCCTTCTCCCATCAATCTATCTTTGTGGTAATTAATGACATGAAGAATCTTGTTCAGCCATGGTTGGGCTTGTTGCAGCTCCATTTTGCACTAAGGCAAGCAAGGGTCGGGGTTTGAGTTTGCTTTGGCTGCATTTAGATTGAGCCCAATATTAACGACAACAACGTGACCGTACTGGTACAGGCACAATTGGCTAAACTGGCTATGCTATGACGGTTCTGTGATTCTATGAATTTGGCACATTTAAATGTAGTAAAACATCCCAAAGTATTTTACAGAAGTGGTATCGATGAAAATCTGATACTAAGGGATTAGTGGAAAAGGAAAAGAATTCAACAAGTTCATGAAAGAAGAAGAGGTAGGCAGAAAGAAGGAATTCCACAACTTTAGGACCCAGGAAGCTGAAGGCTTGGTTGCTAACGGTAGTGTGATTAAAATTGGGGAGGCCTAAGAGGCTACACACGGCAATATTGCTACAGGAGAACTTGCTTTCAGAATGGGTGAGGAGTTCAATTTGAATGGATAAAAAAAGGCCAGCTTGCATTTCTGTCACAGCTTTCACAATGTTTGGATGTTCCTTATACTTTACAGCCAATGCAGTACTTTATATAGTCACTGTTCCAAATTGCTGTTCATTTCAGCTTTACGTGTCAGCTCATTGTGTGGGATGAACTTTATACAAGTTATTACAAGAGAATTGTTATGATGCAGGAGATCATTCAGCCTTCAGTCTGTGCTGCCTTCCTGCAAGTCACGTTGTCCATCTCCACTTGACCTGCACATTATTGTCTCCACAGATTCCTTCTCTTTCGAAGGAATCTACCGCCACAACAATCTTGGGCATTCATTCAAAAACCTAATCACTTGAAATATGAAAAATTGCTTTTCCTCATGTTGCTGTTGCTCCTTCTGCCAATCTCCCGAAATCAGTGCCCTTCAGTTCTTGATTCTTCCGCCAATGGGAATATTTCCACCTTATCTACTCTGTCTGGACACCTCCTGATTTTGTACAGCTCTATGACATCTTCTTTTCAACAAGGAAAACAGCCCCACCCTCTCCAATTCACCCATCTAACTGATCCTGGAATAATTTCCAGTTCCTTGCTGTGCCCTCTCTATCGCCTTCCAACGCATCCTCCCGTCAAATTCAGAGCTTCGATGGGAAGAAATATCAGAAATATGGCCTCACCTCCCATATAGTTGTTTCGGAAAAAAAAGGTAGGTTGACGGCACATCATACATTCCTATTGAGCAGCTCTTCAGGCTTTGTAGTGTGATTGAGAGAGATAAAATACATATTGCATTCATTGCTATTATCACTGCCTGATCTTTTTCTTTAGCCCATAATACGGGAATATGAAATGTACGTAACCTTGAAGAAAAATAAGAAGGGAAGCCTTGGTTTCACCATAATGCGCAGTAAACTGGACAACTGCTATTACATCCGTGATGTCCTGGATAATCCTGCAAAGGCTGATGGGAGACTAAGAGCAGGAGACAGGCTCATAACGGTAAAGACATTATAAAAACAAAAATGGCTTGTGTACCTGGCTATCCTACACGGCAGCTGGCAGCATTTTACATTTGATGTTAGTGTTTTGGAAACCTGTGGTTATATCAGGTTTGGCCTTCAGCTAACAACCTGGTTTGGCCACATTCAGTTTGAGTCCCACTTCTGTTACACCTGGTGGCCAATTTTCTGGGTTACGTCCCTGTAAGAGCATTAACAGTATATAGACACTGTAAGCTCAGCCTTTAGCATTAGGATAACTTCAAAGAGGAGACAGGTAACTTTTGAAATATGTTTATCAATGAAGTCAGTGAGTGGGATGGGATAGACAGCAATGAAAGAGGGGGAGAGTGGTCGGCAGAGGGGAATACTTTAATGGCAAAGTAGTTTGAAATGAGTCATTGGAGAGGGAAATAAGCAGAAATGAAGTGGGATGTCAATAGACGGAAGGGAATATGAAGGATAATGAAGGGGGAAGATACTGGAAGAGTGTATTTATACAGAGAAAAGACAGAATGCCTGCATCACTGAGAACAAGCAATGAGAGGGGCCAGGGTGAACAGGAATGGAGAAGTGAAAGGATGACATTTGGATCAAAATTACTTGAAATTAAAGAACGGAGGAAGTGTGCCAGTTTCAAAGAGGTAGAGCATTCCCAGTTGGAACTGAGAGATTGGAAAACAACTGGTTGCTTCATTGAAAATTTTGGACATTGAACAGGGTTACTGTGACAGAAGCACAATGTAGGGAGTTACATGGGGTACAACGTGTGTATGTTGAAAAAGGGGGGCACATTGGCTCAGTGGTTAGCATGGCTGCCTCACAGCTCCAGGGACCTGAGTTCAATTCCACCAGTGTCTGTGTCTCCCTGTGTCTGTGTAGGGTTCCTCTGGGTGCTCCGGTTTCCTCCCACAGTCCAAAGATGTGCAGGTTAGGTGGATTGGCCATGCTAAATTGTCCATAGTGTCCAGGATGTGTAGGCTAAGTAAGATAGTGATGAGAAATGCAGGGTTACAGAGATAGGGTGGGATGCTCTTTGGAGATTTGGTGTGGACTTGTTAGGCCGAATGGCCTGTAAGGATTCTATGAAAGAGTAGGGTGTGGATGAAGTATGGTGTGAAAATTTGGTGAGTTAGATAACATACAGTATCTATGGGAGATGGGAGAGTGGAGAGTTTGATGGGGTGCAGTGTTTGTGAACAGTTTTGAGTTAGATGGGGTATAGAGTGTGTAAGTAAAGGGCTGGTGTCTGATGGTGCACAGTCTGAAATGTTGGAGAATTAAATGGAGTGCAGTGTGTACGAGAGAGGGTGGTGACTTACAGTGGGGTATTGTGTGTGTGTGTAGTTGGATGGGGTACTGTGTGTGATGGGTGAGAGCAGACAGGGACTTGGTTGGTGTACAGTGTGTGTAAGAGAGAGAAAGAAAGAGAAGCTGAAGAGTTGGATGGAGTACAGAGTGTAAACGTGAGAGGGTGGGGAGTTGATAGAATACAGTATGCGTATCTGTGAGACAGAGAGAGAGAGGGTGGGGAGTGGAATGGTTACGGAGTTTCTATTATATCAGTTTGATGCAAAGATAATGCATTTGTGAAACAGAATGGGTTGGGGAGATACATGGGCAAACGTGACTGAATGACTGCTAGGAAAGAATGGATGATCTCAGTGAGATAAAGACTATTAGCATTATGACTCATTTATAGAATTCATCTTTGATTATTCGCAGATCCACTGTTACCTGTTAGGGAAAACATTATGTAAAATCTATAAATTTCTGTTATATTTGAAAATCTGCTGATAATTTTATAGACACAGGCGGCCTAATAACCACAATGCCAATGTTTGCTTCAGTATTATTGGCATTGTACAGGAAAGTCTTGTGAAAAAAGATTCCCTTCTCTACATTATTCTGTAATCTGATTCATTTATGCATCACAGCGCAGAGCTGAAAGCAATAACAAGAGGGTCAATGATCCTTTGGAATTGAATTTATTTATTTAGTAGTGACTCAGGACAAGGACTGGAACATCCCTTCGGAGTTCTTACGCTGGATTGTTAAATGCATTAAAGCAGAGAGCCATTCCCCACTCTTCATTTATACTATATCTAAATAAATCTGAAATATAGCCACTAGATCTAGTGATCAGATTACAAGGTGTTGTTCTATTTGGTTACATTCAAATTGCTTTTTTACTATCAGTTTTTATGGATTTAGTTTAAGTTTGCAGCATTGACAGGGCTAGTTCCCTTTTTAGTGCCACCCTCCCCCACTTTAGTTTTTTTTGTCCTCCCCTGCAGTCATTTATCCATCTTGTCCTTCCATTTCAAGACAGGGACAGGAATGAGGCCTTCAGGCCCTCGAGATTGTTTCTCTGTCCAACAATATCTGATAAATAGCCGAATGGATGGCAAATTTGCTGAGAAACAGAAAACAGTAAGAAGGGAGATAACACAGTGTGGAGCTGGAGGAACATAGCGGGCCAGGCAGCATCAGAGGAGCAGGAAAGTTGACGTTTCGGGTCGGGACCCTTCTTCAACCATTTCTGAAGAAGGGTCCTGACCTGAAACATCAACTTTCCTGCTCCTCTGATGCTGCCTGACCCGCTATGTTCCTCCAGCTCCACACTGTGTTATCTCTGACTCCAACATCTGCAGTTCTTACTATCTCTAACAGTAAGAAGGGAGACTGGGGACACAAGTACACTCTGGCATTTCAGTGCGTTGCCAAGAAAGTGAGGCACTGCCAGACGAGTGATCTTTCAGACAAGTTATTCAACTGAGGCAGGCCTGAGAATAGGCCTTGAAGAGGTGGGCCTCAGATCAGGCTGAAAAATAACATGAATGAACGGCTAAGCGCTCATTTACCTGAACTTCTTCGTTGTCATACAGGTAAACGACTTTGATGTCACAAATATATCACATGAGAATGCCATTAATCTGCTCCGGTCTGCTCCTGCCAAATTAACCATCATGGTAGGACGTGCTGCTCAGAATCTACTTCCAGTACTACCCCTGGAAAAGATCCCTGACATCATCCTAAAGAAAGGTCCAAATGGTCAGTTAGGTAAGTGGCAAAGAAAGTGGTCAGGAAAATCTTGCTCGATATTTATTGTGTAGTGAGCCTACCTAGTACTCGGAATTAGATTGTTTATAATTTCTTTTTACCCCATAGTTCCTTTATTTGCACTGAATGCGACAATATTTTTATTAAAGCAAATATTTAAGATAAATATTCTGGAACGTTTCATGAAGTAATGCTCTGTGTTACTTTGAGACACAGTGAACCCCCTTGATAAATTTCTACTGGGAGCCATGTACAATATAGTGAGAAGCTTGTTTTATGGGGTGTATCTTAATGAGGGAGCCAGAAAGAACATTAAACATGAGTGTTACGATCACCACGCTGCTAGTATTTTCTTACCATAAAAATGGCATCTTGTGTTGAAATCAAAACTCTCGTTGAAGGTATTGACTGATTACATGGAAACTGTCATAACACACTAGGCAATAAAAGAAGCCAGTTAGAATGGACTGAAAATTTTACTCTTTTTCAACCTTCCCACTGTGGCCTAATGAGCAAAGCTGTTCCTGTATTTATTTTAGAAAGTCTTCAAATTGTTTTAGTAAAAAATGTCCAGGGTTTGTAAGCACACTATTTACTTGATTGCATTCAAAACTTTACAATTTTCCTTCGCATCTGATGTAATGAATTTACTGTTTAATTTCCATTCGATGTTTCACATCCGTAGACGGGCAGCATTGTTTCTCTGAGAATCTTAGGTGACGTCCCTACTCCACATTGTAAGATCAGACTTGGGTCAAAATGTCTAGAGGAGAAAAGGTAAGGAGAGAAATAGTGCTGCCAAGCAAAGCTTTTTAATTTTTCTCTTTCTGTCTGCTTTCTTGGATTTAGTTTAAGTGGCTGGTTCTGACACCCTTATCCAGTATTGCTTTCCCTGGTAAGATCTAGAGAAGGCCTGTACAGTCATAATTTAAGCCCTGTCAGAACATCCTGTGCACTCTCCTACCAGTTACACTGGTGTTGAGCTGAAAACTTCCTTTGATTCGATATTGAAAATGGAAATCATGGGGATATCTGCATTTTGCACTGAGGTTTGCAAGGACAGAGAATATATTCTCTGCGGGGGGGCTTCAATGTGTGTCACTAAGACTGACTCTATTACATCACTACTATCTCCAGTGGTCAATGGCCTGAAGGATGTATCTTCCAGCCTGCATCAAAGGTAGTTAATAACGAACCTACAAGAGGGAGAAGCACACTAGCCCTTATTTGCACCATTTTTCCTGTCGCTGTCAGTCCATGTCGGTTTAGGCAGGAGTGACCACCACATAACGTTTTGTGAAGACAAAGTCACATTGTCACACTAGGCATACCCTCCATTGTATTGTGTGGCACTTCCGCCATGCTAAATGGGACAGATTCAGAACAGACCTGGTCACTTAAAACAGAGCATGAGATATAGTGGACCATCGGCAGCAGCAGAATTGTGTTCAACCATAGGCTGTAACTTTACTGCCCAGCATATACCCAACTCTACCTTACTATTAAGCCAGGGGATCATCCCTTGTTGAATAAGGAGTGCAGAAGGGTCTGAAGAAGGGTCTAGGCCCGAAACATCAGCTTTCCTGCTCCTCTGATGCTGCTTGGCCTGCTGTGTTCATCCAGCTCTACACCTTGTTAACTGCAGGAGGTCATGTTGCCTTGAGCATCATTGGCTGTACCTAAAAGTGAGCTGTCATCCCGCTAAAGCTGCAACACAGGACTGCTTGTATACCAGATAGTAGAAACAGCATATGATTGACAGGGCAAAATGATCCCACAGACAACCAATGGATCAGATCCTAACTCTGCAGTGCTGCCACATCTAGTCATGAGTTGTGGTGGGTAATTGAACAACTAATAGTAGGAGACCACGTTCAGCCAGACATCATACTGGATGACCCATCTCGATCTCCTTGAGGTCTGCTGCATCACAGAACCCAATCTTCAGCCAATTTGCTTCACTGCACTTGGTACCAAGAAATGGCTGAGGGGACTGAATACTGCTAGGTCTATGGGTCCTGACGACTTCCTATTAATAGCATTGATGACCAGAACTTGCTGCAGCCCTTCTCGAGCTGTTCTAGTACAGCTACAATGCTGGCATATACCTGGAAATGGAGAAAAATGCCTAGGCATACACAAAAAGCAGAACAAATACTGCTCCATCAGCCACCTCTCAATCACCAGCAAAGAGATGGAAGTGATGAAATTGATAGATAGCAATGGTAAATGTAAACTTGGTGTAGTCCTAGACAGGGCTGCTCTCTCATTAGAGGCTGGTGCTCAGTTTAACTTTAGAATGACCATGTTTCAGGTGAGGGGCAAGGTTGAGAAGGCAGGACCTTCATGGTAATTTCAGCCAGTGTTGGAATTACACCAGCACTGTTAGTGTCACCCTGCATCACAAACCAGCCATCTAGCCAACTAAACTACCAGCAGGGACCCACTCACTGGCATTCAATTTGGGTTCTTAACTTATTACCACCTTGGTCCAAACTTGGACAAAAGAGCTGCATTGAAGAGGTTCTGACTCACTCAGAGATAGTAAGAACTGCTGATGCTGGAGTCAGAAATAACACAGTGTGGAGCTTGAAGAACACAGCAGGCCAGGCAGCATCAGAGGAGCAGAAAAGTTGACGTTTTGGGTCAGGACCCATCTTCAGAAGAAGGTTCAGAAGAAGGGACCCGACCCGAAACATCAACTTTCCTGCCACTCTGATGCTGCCTGGCCTCCTGATATTCCAGCTCCATGCTGTGTTATCTCTGCATTGAAGAGGTTGATGTGAGAGAGACTGCCCTTCAGATCAAGGCAATATTTGACTTGGTGTGGTATCAAGGAGCCTGAACAAAGCTGTAGTCAATGTGAATCTAGTGGAAATATCTCCACTGGTTAGAGGCACATCTAGCCCAAAGGAAGATGTTTGTGTACATTGAAGATCAATCATCTCAGTTTTAGGAGATTGCTGGAGGAGTTCCTCAGGCTAATGGCCTAGGCCCATTCATCCACAATTGCTTCATCAATAACTTTCCCTTATAAAGTCAATGTGGAGATGTTCACTGATGATTTGCTACTCCTCAAATACTGAAGCAGACCAGGTCCAAACGCATCATATCCTGGACAACATTCAAACTTGGACTGATAAGGGGCAAGTAACATTCACACCACATGTAAATCAGGCAATGACCATCTCCCACAAGAGAGAATCGAACAATTGTCCCTTGACATTCAGTGGCATTACGGTTACAGACTCACCCACTATTCTGAGAGTTGCCAATGAACAGTAGCTGAACTGGAGTACCCACATGAACATTGATCTGTAAGAGCAGGTCAGGGGCTGAGAATTTTGCATTGAGTAACTTACCTCCTGACTCCCCAAGGCCTGTCCACCATCTACAAAGCATCAGCCAGGAGTGTGATGGAATACTAAATAAAAACCAAAAGAACTGTGGATGCTGTAAATCAGGAACAAAAACAGAAGTTGCTGGAAAAGCTCAGCAGGTCTGGCAGCGTCTGTGAAGGAGAAAACAGAGTTAACGTTTCGGGTCCGGTGATCCTTCCTCAGAACTGATAGTGGCCGGGAAAACATCAGTTTACATGCGGAAAATAGGGAGGTGGGTGGGGTAGGGAGTAAACGATAGGATAAAGCCCAAAGAGAGAGAAGAGCAGTTGCTAAGACAAAGGAGTTGCTAACTATCAGGCTGGGAGGGTGAATAGTTGTTAATGGGGGCGGTAAGTGACTAACAACAGGGGGTGTGTAATGGCAGGCTATGTGGTAACAAGTGTGTTTGATGGAATACTGTCCACTTGCCTGGATGGTTGGAGCTCCGACAGTACTCAAGAAGTTTGACACCATGAAGAGTAAAGAGAATAAAGCAGTTTGCTTGACTGGCACTCCATCCCCCACCTTCACCATCCACTACCTTCACAGTGTTGGTAGTGTGTACAATCTACAAGATGCACGGCAGAAACTCACCAAGACTTCTTTAGCAGTACTTACCAAACCTGCAACATCAAGAAGGACTCATCTAGGAGACAACAGCAACTGAAGCACTGGAACACAACCTGCAAGTCCCCTCTCCAAAGCACACTCACACCTCCCTGACTCTTGGAAACATATTGCTGTTCCTTTATTGTCGCTGGGGCAGAATTCTGGAACTCCCTGACACCAGCACAGTTATAGTTTCACAAGATGGACTGAGACAATTCAAGAACGCTGCACACTGTGATGCTCTCACTGACCATTAGGCATGGGCAACAAATGGAAAAAAAAAGTTGTGCCACTTGGATGTTCCATTAGGAGAAAAGAATAAGGAAAGTGAAAAAATGAAGACACCATAGAGATTAATGGATACCTGGAAGCGATGTCACAGTGACTAATGCTTACCCAGGAGTGATTGCAAAGCAATGATCTCATTGTGCAAATCCGGTAAGGTCTTAAATTTAGAAATAAAAGTTTTCCAATCTGACCTTTGAACCTCAATGTCTGTGGCGTCACTTCCAGGTACCTTACTTTACGAGATCAACTGTAAATTTCCTGGAGATGAGAATCTCACTCTCTTTGTTCTTTAACATTGTAAAAATAAAATCAATATCTCAGGCTTCAACTAAAGAGCAAAAACTGGTGTTCAGCAATTAGCATGGAGGAGGATTTACCCAATCAAAACTGAAACGGTGTGTTGCACAGTTACCATACTGTGGGATCCATTTTACTGTCTCAGTAAATGCCACCCCTAGTAAAAATAAAACAAAATGCAACAACGCCGCTGCTCTCTCCACTGTTTCATAAAACAAGGAGGAATGTGCTGACTGCTGGCACTGAGCACTTCCACCTATTTATGGACTAATTATCCACAATTATCAGTAAAAATAGATTGTCAATACGTTGACACTGTGTTGTTCAACAGTGTGGGCAGGGTGATAGTGGACTATGAGTTATGATTGTGTACATGTTCGCCTGTTCTAACAAAGGGTCTGTGCAATCATTTTAACAGATTTGCTTAATACTGCCAGATTAGCTTTCCAGACAATGTGCAGTGTGAGCCAGACTCTGCCCAATGGCACTCTGGGTATTCTAACACACCATGGACTGCAATGGTTCAGGAAGAATGCACACTACTGTGTTTCAAAGGGCAATTAGCTGTTTTAACTACTTTTCATAGAATCCATACAATATGAAAGCAGGCCACTCAGTCCATCAAGTCCACACCGACCTCCAAACAGCATCCCACTCACACCCACTACCCTACCCTATCCCCATAACCCTACATTTCCCATGGCTAATCCACCTCATCTTCACATCCTAGACACCAGGGCAATTTAGCATGGCCAATCCACCTAGCCTGCACATCTTTGGACTGTGGGGGGAAACCGGAGCACCCGGAGGAAACCCACACAGACACGGGGAGAATGTGCAAACTCCACACAGACAGTTGCCTGAGGGTAGAATCGAATGCGGGTCCCTGGCACTGAGATAGTAGTGTTAACCACTGAGCCACCATGCTACCCTAAACCACCACGCTGCTCTAAGCCACTGTTCCACTCTTGACAATGTTCTTTAGACACCTCTTAAAGCTAATCAGATCCAACACATTGTTTGAATTAGAAGAAAGGTTATAAATGCTTTGCTTGCAAAGATGCAACAGAATTTCAGTTAGACTGCTGTCCTTGCTCATGGAGAGTTGATCGGTTCTTAGAAACAAAGGGCATTAATTTATATTTTGAAATGCAAACTCAGTGTTTACTTACTTTTTGCAACTTGATTAAAGTGATTGTAAGATTCCTGAGTGACCGTGACTGCTTTTATTTCCTGCAGGAAGTCCATGATTATATTAACATGCTCCAGTGAATGTGTAACCAATGGAGATTGCTGTTAATCTAATTCTGGATTGCACTTGTTGCTGCAGGTTTGAAGTTAACGGGAGGAATAGGCAGTAAATGGCAAGGCATTTACGTTCTGGAGGTTGTGCCAAATTCCCCCGCCAGTTTGGAAGGAAGTCTGCAGCCGAGGGACAAGATACTGTACATCTGCGATATGTGTACCATGGGCATGACCTTGGATGATGCTGTGCGAGCTTGTGACACAGAGAATGGCATCATAAAAATCAAGGCTCTGAGGTGAGACAGTCTTTTTGCAAAACTTTGTGAATAGCATTGCCCCACTGCTTGCAGCTATCTGGACTAGTGATGCATCAGCGTCTGAAAAATGTTGACATTGCCAACACATTGGACCTGAGCTTTCTGTTGCAGCTTGTAGCCACTAAAGCTGAATTCAGCTTTAGAACAGCTCATAGCTGGCACGGTGGCTCAGTGGTTAGCACAGTTGCCTCACAGCACCAGGGACCCGGGTTCCATTCCAGCCTCGGGCAACTGTCTGTGTGGAGTTTGCACGTTTTCCCTGTGTCTGCGTGGGTTTCTGCCGGGTGCTCCAGTTTCCTCCCACAGTCCAAAGATGTGTGGGTGGGTTGGTCATGCTAAATTGCCCTTGGTGTCCAGGGATGTGGAGGCTAGATGGGTTAGCCATAGGAAATGCAGGGTTATGGGGAGGTAGGGTAGGGAGGTGTGTCTGAGTGGGATGCTCTTCACAGGGTCGGTGTGGACTTGATGGGCTGAATGGAGTCTATGATTCTAAGCAGTTCCAGTGGTAGTCATGGAGGTCGGATAGGAATATGAGTGAAATAACTTGATTGGCTCCAGGGATGAAGCCAGATCATGCTAGCTGATTCCAGGACTATTGAGGTGAATTGCTGCATTTCAGTGCAATCACAACAATGGCCATTCCTTGATGGGATGTGGGCATCAGTGGTAAGGCTGGCATTTTCTCCACATCCTGATTTGCCCTTTAAATCATCAAAAAACAGAATCCCAATAGTGCAGAAAAAGGCCATTTAGCCCATTGAGTCTGCACTGACCCTCCAAAGAGCATCCACCCAATCCTATGCCTGTATTTCCCATGGATAATCCACCTAGCCTGCAAATCCCTGGACACTAAAGACACTTTAGCATGGTCAATGCACATCTTTCGATTCTGGGAGGAAACTGGAGCACCCAGAGGAAACCCCACGCAGACACAGGGAGAATGTGCAAACTCCATGCAGCCTAAGGCTGGAATTGAAGCTGGGTCCCTGGCGCTGTGAGACAGCAGTGCTAACCACTGTGCCACCTGGGTGTATGCCTTACTCAGACATTTTGAGAATCAATCACTGATATGGTTTTGGAACCACATGTAGGCCAGACTAGGTAAGAATGAAAGATTCCCTTCCCTAAAGGATATTAGTGAACCAGATGGGTTTTATACAGCAATCAATGATTTTTTCATGGTCACCTTTATTGAGACTAGCTTTCAGTACAAGTTATTTTAAAGAATTGGATTTGAGCCCCATGATCCCAAAGCATTAACCTGGGCTTCTGCGTTACTTGTCCAATGACAATACCAGGCACCGCAATCTCTCCCTTTTGGTGAGTATCAAGCATGAATTAAATCATTGTCGTTTTTCTGTTTGAAAGTGATGAGTACAATCTTCCATAGAGTATTGTCTTTAAATAGCATGGTGTTTGGCAATGCCTCCATGACATGCAAAATTTTAATGAGTATCCATTTTGTTATGCCAAGTCAATACATTATGCCTGAGTTATACAAGTCGATTGTTTGAATTTAGCATTCCAGCATCTAAACTGGTTTTATTTTGCTTCCCCAGGGATGGTAAACCAGTGATGACTGAAGCGCAAAAAACTGGTAAGCCCCTCTCCGGCTATAGTGAGTGTAAGCAGTAAGGATTAGCATGTGTGTCACATCAACTGAACTGCTGCTGTAATTACTGGGTAGATAGACATAGACACAGCTATTTGTGTGACTGAGTTTGAGAGGAGAAGGCAGCACCTCATGAGTTGCCTTTATGTGGTGTACATTGCAGCTTTAATTTTACAACAACATCAACAAATATATGTATCTGTACAGTGCCTTTAATGTAACAGAATGCCCTAAGGCGCTTCTCAGCATGGTGAGCACACAAAATTTAGGACTGTGATGGAATGCTCTCCACTTGTCTGGTTGAGTGCAGATTCAATGACACTCGAGAATCTTGACAACATCCAGACTGAAACAGCCGGCCTGATTGATGCCCCATGTACCACCTTCACTCCCTCCATGTCCAACACACATTGGCAGCAGTGTGTGCTTACCACCTACAAGATGCACTGCAGCAACTCACCCTGGCGCCATCAACAGCACCTTCCAAATCTGGGGTCACTGACTTCTAGAAGGGAGAGTGCAGTGTTAGGAAGGGGAAGTCGAATCTCTCTGATAATTAAAATCGAAACACAAGCCCCCAGTCTGTTAGGGCGGGCGTGGAGGTCCCCTTGTAATAATTTAACCCGAAACACCCAGAGAAACTCGCCTCACCTCGCCTAATCTGTTAAACTGTTACAGAGAAGGAGAGGTTAAATGAAAGAAAATTCCCGATTCTCACTTTAGAAGTAACAAGCAACAATTTAATTAACCATAACAGTGAACAAACTGACAGAACTACTAACAAAACTGAACAATTCCCCCCAACTCCTAACTATTCCCTAACTGAACAAGATTCTACTGATGTGCTATTCCAATAAACACAAGTCCCACTTATATAACCCAAGTAGTAAGAAAAAAAATAAATTATAACTTAGTCTCTCAAAGTTTGCACAGACTGTCTTCTGGAATACTCAGCCTTCTCCAGCCTTTTTTCTGTCGATCTCAAGTCACAAATGTCTTTCTTCTGCTGATCTTACTGCCATGGATGTTTTCTCTATAATTTCCTCTGTAATGACTGAGCTAAAAACAAGATGATATGGTATTTTTGATGGTGCTTTTTCTTTTAGAGAGCTTAATAATTTTTTTTTGTGAGAGCCAAATTTATTTCTCAGATGGCGGATTTGCTTTCATTTCAGATGGCTGTGGGCTCTTTGCTGATTTTCCAATGCCCTCTTTTTTATCCCCTTGCTGACCCGTCCAGTATCTCACAATATGAGTGGTTTCTAGGTTGTCAACACCATCAGATTTAAATTTGATAGGTTTTTAATATCTAAGGGCTTGGTTTAAATTGATTGGCTAAGTTTGAAAAGACTTCTTGACTTGGTAAAAGTGTTGCTTGGCTATTCAATACAAGATGTTTCTATTTTGGTGCTATCTTTAAGCTGCTGTTCAGACATCTATTTTAACTCTAAGCACCGAAAAAAAATGCCATCTTTTAAAGGGACGACGCAATGCTCTCCCCCATTTGACAATTTTACAATTTTACACACACCAATTTCGCAACAGCTGTAGGTGCATGGGAACACCAGTGTCCCGCCCTATCCCTAACTCAGCAAGCCACACACCATCCTGACTTGGAAATACATGGTTGTTCCTTCAGTGTCATACGGCCAAAATCTAGAACTTACACCCTAATTGGCCTTACACTATACTGACTACAGCAGTTCAAGAATGCGACTGATTACCATGTAATGAAGGACAAGAAGGGATGGGCAATAAATGCTGGCCCAGCCATGATGTCCACTTCCCATGAATGAAAGAGAAATGTTAGGACAGGTGGTCAAAGGTAAATGGTCATGTTGGGGCCGAGAATTATTTTAGCTTTAAGAAAGCCGGAATTCTGAAAGATTTGTCAACTGTCTCTATCGTAGGAAGGAAAGTCAATGAAGAAGCAGGCAATGGAGCTTATAGAAAAGCTGTGGAGTAATTTCACAACTGACCGTCTATTTTGTGACCAGGGGAATGAGCTGGGCCCAGGGATAGGATTGGGTGGATGCTCTTTGGAGGGTCAGTGCAGACTCAATGGGCTAAATGGCCTTTTTGGCATGTACTGCAGAGCAAAGTAGCTAGCCTTGCTAGAGGTAGCAACAAACACTTAACTCTGGCTATAATATATGCCAGGTGTGGAAACAGATATTTGGAAAGAGAGCATAACGTAAAGTGCTTTTCTGAACGACATCAGAAACCAAGAGTGGGTGTCACAGAAATCTGTTTGCTGCTCTCCTGGATTTCCACTAGATCTCTTTCATAGCACATGGCCGTACAGGACACACCTTCAGGTGATGACATGGACATTTTCCAGTGGGGACACTCTTCAGCTCAGAGCCTAACTGTGTGACCCAATGCCATGCAGCAATTGCAGGTTGGGCACATGAAACTACCTCCATAACTTATAGCATCTCCAGACAGCTTCTGCTTGTGTGATAGTATCACACACAATACAAGGGAATAATCCCATACTAGAGAAGGGCTTAGGAATCACAAATAGTCATGAGAGTGTTATGAACATTGTTTAATTAAGTATGCAGAGCACTTATAAAGTGAGATTGTGAGAACTCTGTGCAAGTAGGTAGCAAATATATGTAATATGTATCATCCCATTTTTGAGGAAAGTGTTAGTGTCTCATATCATACTTCTACTGGGGTCAATTAGCTGAGTGGCTGGTTGGTGATGCAGAGTGACGCCAATGGTGTGGGTTCAACTCCCATACCAGCTAAGAGTACCATGATGGTCCAACCTTCTGAACCTCATCCATCACCTGAAGCACCTTTAGGTTAAACTCACCTCTGTGGCTTGGGATTGATAAAACACCCTTGGAAGAAGACAGAGATAACACAGTGTAGAGCTGGAGGAACACAGCAGGCCAGGCAGCACCAGAGGAGCAGGAAAGCTGACGTTTTGGGTTGGGACCCTTCTTCAGAAAATTTTCTTGCTCCTCTGATGCTGCCTGGCCTGCTGTGTTCCTCCAGCTCCACACTGTGTTATCTCTGACTCCAGCATCGGCAGTTCTTCCTATCTCTTGGATGAAGACACACTGGACATGCTTCCATAGAAAATTATTCAGTAAATTGGGAGGCAGCAAAGACATGGATTTCTCCGAAATTGACGGCAAGTATTACCCCAAAGGTCCCATTCCTCCTTGGTATAATCCATGTGGTAACTCATTGACATGCAGACATTTGGACAACCGCACAAACATTGCAAACTCTATCTAGAGTTAACTCATGTTGTAGCACTTGAACTTTTGCAAATAGTTTCTGCCAGCCTGGAAACACAAACCATCACATTGCACCTTGCAACCTTTTACCATTAATGAGAGGCAGCATCACAGCTACACAAAATCTGGAGGATGCAGTTTGCTGAGACTGAGGAACTATTGCTTGCTGTGTCACAGTGTAGAGGTGAGGAAGAGCAGTAACGTAATGTTGTGAAATATGTCCATGCGCATTTCAATCTTCAATGGGAAAGATGGAACTGTAGGATACATCAGTCACTGAGGTATGGATACATGTCTGTCCAAGTTCAGCTGGGATTACAGCAGTCCCAGGCTGGATTGACCCAATGGGGGAAATGCTGACGATGGTAATGATTTTACAGCTCATTGGTACTGCCATGCTAGTGCTTCTGATTGGCAAAATGCCATAATACAACAACTGGCTTTCAGTTGATAGGATCCTAAATTCTGGTCATTGTGCCTTGGCCAGTTGTTATAGTCGGCACCTAATAGCACATTTAATACTTGACTAGTGTGGCATGTCCTCTCATGCAATGTCCCATTTCATTGTAAGGCATGTTACTGGAAAATTAACAGCAGGTATGGGCCGAATAGCTTCTTTCTGCACTGTAAGGATTCTATGAATCTTTAAGTTAACACATGCTGTTATTGATTTGCAAATTGACCAGCAAGTTCAGGGACTTACATGATAAGTATGTGGGTTGCTTATCTTTCAAATTAGGTGGTAAGTTTATAAATAACCTCTCACTCTTAGTCTCCCTACTATTTGTAAGAAATTTCTGGAGTTGTAAATAATTTGCTATGAAACTCAGCACATTTAGATCTTGTACGAAAGACTATGATCTTACCTTTCCTCAAAATATATTTTTGTAAGACTCGCTGGCATGGCCGATATCTGTTGTCCCCCGTCCCTAATTGCCCTTGAACTGAATGGCTATCTAGGCCTTTTCAGAGGGCAGTGAAGAGTGCACCACATTGCTGTGGGTCTGGAGTCACCAGGTAACGATGGCAGATTTCCTTCCCTGAAGGATTTGTGAGACAGATGAATTTTTGTAATAATCAATGATTGTTACTTAGTTACCTTTATTGAGACTTGATTTCAATTCCATGTTTTTATTAAATCAATTTTAAGTGCAATCAGATTCCGTGGTGGGATCTGAGCCCCTGTTACCAGGCTATTAGCCTTGGACCATGGGTGACCAGTCCTGTGACTTTTCTTAAATTTCAAAAATGCACTTTGTTCATAAAAATATTTTTATGTACATTCATAGTCACTGAAGCAATTTTGTTCTGTACAATAGCATATGAAGAAACAAACATTGGAGTTTCACCCTATCCAGCAAACAAATCAAAGGCGTTTCTTATCTGTGTAAGACTATATTTACCGGGAGGGTCTGATAACTGAACAGATCCCATTTAGGCAGGAAAACCTCAGACAATGGTCTTTCCCCACCTTGGCAGCAGCTTCCCCAAGCTTTAGTGCATCCCTCAGCATGTAGACCTAGACCTTGGAATGTGCCAGTCTGCAATACTTGGTCGGGGTCAACTCCTTGCTCTGGAAGACCAACACATTTTGGGCAGACCAAAGAGCATCTTCCACCGAGTTGACGGTCCTCCAGGTGCAGTTGATGTTTGTCTTGGTGTGTGTCCCAGGGAACAGCCCTTCGAACACAGAGTCCTGCGTCACAGAACTCAACACAAACCACTGCA